AGCTCGAATGTTATTATGAAAAAACGAAAACATTTTATTAAGTATATAACTTTGAAAAAAAAATATGTATATAATTTGTACAGTTAATGAAATTTTGGAAATTAAAATAAATAATTTTTAAGTGTTATCTTAAAGCAATACTCATGCACGTGTCGCCAAGATTGCACAAATTCACGCAACCCTCCACGAGTCACCTTGACGTTACCCATAAAAAGGCAACCGTTCGCCAACAGCGGGGAGATTCACTTGGGATGCCGAACGTGACACTCGAAGACTCTACTTATTTTGAAGTCCTAAACGACTTATAACTGTCTGCTATCATTGACATAAAATACTTATGCAATCGATGATACTTGAAACATTATATTGTATAATAATTAACCTTTGTCTTTTATTAAACTATTATTAGACCATTTGCTGAGGTTAACTTAAATAAATATATAACAAACTGCAATCTATCTTCAATGATTTTGATAAAACCTGAAATGACAGCCTGTCCGCCAAAGCACAGCCACGTTTACACTGGTGCATGTCGAGTAGGATCTTTCAAAGACGGAAAATAAAACCACTTGACATAATACAACTGGAAGGGGCCATTCAATTGCAGCACTTCGTTGAATTCGACGTTTCTGGAAGACCACTGCTCAAAAATGAACCTTTGTCTTATATAACTGATAATTTTAAATGTGGGCAGTCTCAGTCATCTCCCAAAAAAACAAAACAAATTATATAATGGAAGTAGAATCAAAAGATACTATAGGAATTCAAGTTTTTGACCAATCAGTTGATCTAACCAATAGTGATAGTGATCACACAGTAGTAGACGAAGAATCTTTTAAATAAGAATTTATAGAATCCCCTAAATTAATTAATATAGGAAATAATGACATAGGAAATGGTTGTAATAATGATGTAGATAGTATGATGCTCAGGGGGGAGGTCAGTTAGATCAATAGGAAAAGAAATAAATAGATATGGTAATTCACAACGTAACATTAACGGTCCAAGAAATTATATCGCTAGTGATAATTACAGATCTATTTCAAGGGAGACTAAACGAAACTCTCAATTGCGTAGAAATTAACCTAACAATAGTCAATAACAGTCGCAACAACGCTAAAACAAAAGATTATACGAATATACACTGTTGGATCTGCAATCGTTTTGGTCATATATCCTTTGGATGTAAATCACGTATGAAATATAATAATAGTAAAAATCATAATAATAACAATAACAGAAGTTACCAAACTTTTGTTTATAATCGACCAACTATGTGTAACCATTGCAATGGAATAGGCATCATTGTTAACGAGAAATCGCTGAATCGCTTCTCTGCAAATTTCCAGTGATAGGAATTTAAAATATTGAAAAGAAAAATGTCTTGACCAGATTAACCATAGCTGATGTAAAACTTCATATACATCCCAGTAATATTTAGTTATATCTTCTAATCCGTCATTTTTTGTATAGTTCTTACGACCATGGTACGTCCTTCAAATGACGTTACTAGAAGCTCGAAGCTTAGTGTATGATTTTTACATACAGAAACTCGAAAACACTCAGAATGTCGAAAAAATAGAAGATTGTGAATGCATTAAAATCTGTACAGATTGTACAGATTGTGTAGCTAAATCCAATGACCGCCATTATATCGCAGTATTGAAAGCCAATCCAAGTTTACCATAAAAAATGTCCTTTTCTTACCCTGTGTGCAAGTACTTGAAATTCAAACATTTAATTTTTGAAATTCGCATACTCCAAAAATGTTTCATAGTTAACACTTATGCACAAAAAATAGACATATCAAATTATTACCAATATAATATGTTTACTACCCATGAGAATAAATCACACAACTTAACCATTTTAATATATTTGTTTTCAATGTACACACCGAATGTTCATCATGATTTGACATAATTCTATAAATATTTATGTGAATTCGTTAATTGTGACACAGCCGGTACACCCAAAATTCCTTATTATTTAAAAATGAATTTTTGAAGTGTTTAATTAAATTTACTTACTGATATTAAACTAATTTGTATTATATAGATACCTAATTATAAATTAATATATATTGTTTTAAAATAAAATTTAAAATAATTGATAAAAATCAGTTTTTTTGCAGTTAAAACAAATACATTGTTTTTTATTTACAGTTGATTGAACGTATAAATTCGGTTCATGATATGAAACTCGAAATCGTTGACCATAAGGGCTGTAACTGTGAGAATATCAATGTGAATAGTAAGGATCAGAATGTCGTCAGTGAAAAAATCACGCGATTGTTTATTGTGTCTGTAAATTAACTAATCAAATATGAAGTGTCATTTTAGTAATTACAAATAACCGTGAGCATATTATGCTAATTTATAACAATTTTAAATTTGACTACGCGTATACAGCTAAAAATGGAATTACACGATGGAAGTGCTACAACAAAAAGTGTACGGCTATAATGTTCACAAAAAATAATAATTTTGAACTCGTCAGAATATATGGAAATCATATAGCAATACATGTGATGTTGTCGATAGACGTATCCAAGGTAGACAAATTATTAATTTAGCCGGTAACCGAAAAACAGTAAATGATATTATAGATTTAGTTTTAGGAGTTCTTAAAAAATATTAGGTTACAAATTTTTATTTATTTTGGCGGACATCAGAATACAACCTTTGGCAGAAAACGGCTATGGTGTCATATACTAAAATTGAACCAAATTTAAATAACAAAAAAAACCACAATATAAAACATTATCTGAAATTTTATCTGATTAATTATTTATGGACTTAGTTCAATTGGGTCCACGCTTTTCTTTTTAGTCAAAAATTAAAGATTTTTAACATTATTTAAAATTTTAGTTAATTTTCGGTTGTTTTCAAAGTGATTGACATTTTTAAAAAAATGTGCTACAATTGTTTGTTTCTTGTAGTAAAATTATTTTTTCCTTCTTGGTTTACTATTTTACTATTTTTAGAAAAGCTTTTTTTTAAAAATAACAATTTTTAAAATTTTTAAAACAATAGATATTAATTTCCAATTAGGTATCTATATACTACAAATTAGTTTACTAGTACAACATGTAAACGGAAAGCTACGGAAGAACTTTTTACACAACCAAAAAAAAAAAATACTTTTAAAAGAATTAGCGCAAACTATACTAATGGCCTAACGTCAAACGATTTTAAAACAGTTAGAAAAGTAATTTAAAGAATTTTTTTTTTTTAACTATGTGTTATAATGTACATAGTAGTATACATATTATGCGTTTAAGCATACAATAATCAAGAGACCTATAACTTATTTTTTTTTACCACGTTTTTTAGTTTAACGTTTCAGTCTAGTAGATAAATTTATAGTTCTTTTATTTGTTTATTTTATTTCTTACTTTTAGTCCTATGAAAGGTACTTGTTTATTGTGAATAGATTACTAAATAAATTTTGGAAGATTTGAAAAAAAAACATGAAATTTTAGTGAAATGACACTATGTCCGAGTCCCAATATTATTACAAAGTATTGTGTTGTCATCCGAGATGAGTGTCTGTGCTAAGTTTCAGCCCTCTTCGTACATCGGAAAGTGGGTTAGATTAATTTTGCAAGATTTGAAAAATACCCGTTCGTACGTGCTAGCAAGTTAAAGAAAAGCATGTAAAAATGTATAAACCATTATTTAAATTATATCCATACCACGAAGAAAAACGGTAAACACCTATCAAACATAAATTTATATCAATAATATTTTTATCGATAAATTGTGATACTCAACTAGCTATGTAAATTCGCATAGGCTAGCCTACCAAATATTTCTAGAAAATACGTCATGACGATCGATGTGTAAAACCAATAACTAAAAAGCACGTAAGTTTAAACTCTGCGTCAGAATTCAGTACATCGTTTAGTGAGCTGCACTATCAAACTTCAAGATTGTAAGTATACTTTTGATCAGAAATGGTGAAATTTTCGAATACTTTAATTTTAATAACGTATTTAAAATACAAATTTCTATTTTCTACGTTGTATCTTAAATATATTTAAGGTGACCTTTTGGATGAAATGCTTTAATCGATTTTGAATTCAATTATTATTTTGCTTAATGTGTAGTGTTGGAATCAGAGTTGTGCATCATTCGAATAAAATGTTATTCAAGTAAAAGTTATTTGAAGCGTTGAATGATTTGTGAATTTGGTTGACCAAACATTTTTTAAAATATTTTAAAATAATACAAGTAGTTTATATTTTTTTAAATTTAAATAATTTGCTCATTTTTTTTTTGTATATTTGACTATAAATGTTATAAACGAATATGTTCAACATTTTTAGTGCATTGTATTTGATTTTTTTTTGTGGCTCTTCTACAAATAAAGAGTGTACCTCATCACCTTCAAAATTAAACTACTAAAATTTTTTTTACAAATCATTCAAAAATCGAAAATGCCTTTAATATCACGTTATTTGTACCGAGTTGTAATCAATTTCAAAACTCAAATGAAAGTGTACATTTTTATTTTAAAATCGTATTATGGCAAAAGTTTGACAAAAAATTTCTTTCGAAAAGGAGAATTCTTGCTTACCTAATTTTCGATTAATTATAGTGATAAAATCGTATTTAAATAAATGCTTTGATGCAAACCTGTGAACACTACACCTCACAACCTCACATTACTACTTAAATAATACATAGAGGACGTGTGGCCAAGGCGGTAAGGCGGCAGTGGGTTTAGTGCTCACTGTTTCTTGCTGGGCGAACCCTCTATGGCTATAGCCTAACGAACCGTCCCGTCTAGAAACCATCTAATGATAGTAAGGTTGGACCACAAAAGGCCATAAAATGATGATGACTTAGGTTATATAATTGCAATGGTTTTTTTTTTAGATTTCAATAGTATTCAACTTACGCGTCTATATTTACACCGTCGTACAATGAAGCTCAATGGCTTGTGTCTTTTATCCATGTTTCTAGTTAGTTCTTTGAATATCGTTTCGGGACATGAGTGTCTTCATTTTGAGCCTATGGATGGTTTCAAAATGGATAGGGTACGTTCAAGTTATGCATTTGATACTTGACAGGATATATTATAACACAATAAAACAATTGAGTATTACACTTAAATATTCCTAAACCATAATTATGATCGTTATCGTATCCGATAACGATCATAGTTATATAGGTCTTAGAGCTTAACTGTAATTTTAAATATAGCTATATTTGTTTAATTTGGTACACATATGACTTGTGTAATCGTACTAGTCCGTCATTTTGTCTATAGTTTACTGGATCATGGTACGCCATTGAAACGACGTTTGGATATACTCGATGCGTAGGGTATGATTTTTACCCAAAGGAAGTCAAATGTTTTAAACCTGTTACCAATTACCAATATTTTTATGGAAAATTGGAGTTCAATAAACCTTTATTATCAGACATGACATATTTGGATTGTAATCTGGATTATTCGGGTACGTAAAATTTGAACATTTAATTCTTAAGATTCGCCTACTCTAAAAACTATCCAATGCGCTTATGCACAAAAATTATACAAAATAAATTTACTAGTAATGTATTTTTACCATCCGTGAGAATAAACCACATAACCTGATCCTATAATATATTTGTTTTAAAAGTATAAACCGTGTATTTATATTAGTTAGACAGATTTCTATAAATATTTTTGTGAATTCGTCCATCGTGATACACCAAAAATTCCTTATTATTCAAAAACTAGTGGTTTAAGTGTTTAATTAGACTTACTTACTTACCGAAAGACAACCAATGTTTATGTATAGATACCTAATAGGTAATTTTTATTATACACATTGTAGATCCTGACTTGAATAGACCGTCTTTTGTTGTGGTCGAGACTGACTATGTATCCTATGCGATTGTGTTCATGTGCTTAAAAATGGTAACTGGAAACTTCAACCATTATGTATCCATTTTATCCAGAACAGTGGACTTAGACCCGGAACTCCTAAATTATGTAAATACAAAATAAAAATTGCTTTGTTTTATTGATTTTTATCGTTTTAGAATAAAAAGAAATGAATTGACTCTGATTTTTTGCAGTTCAAAAAATGTATTGTTTGTTCTTTAATTTACAGTTGATGAAAAAAATATGGGAAGTATCTAGATCTCTAAAACTCAAACACGTTAACCACACGGACTGTAATTATCAGAGTCTCGTTGCAGAAAGTAATGATGAGAATGTCATTGACGACGATATCAATCGACAACCTTACGTTACTGTGAGATGGGTGGAACAACCTATACCAGTGGGAGGCGTTTAAGTTGATTAAATACGAATAAATTCGAAAGATATATAGTTTGCAATGTAAAGCTAGCCCTGTTGCTAACCCTCTTTCAAATTATATTGTTTAATGTAATCTATAAAAAAAGTTATCATAAAACCTTTTACTTTTGTTTATAATTTAAGTTTAATTTAAAAAAAAAACCATAACTACAAACATTTTAAATTCTTAGGTCTATTTGTTTTATTGAACATCTTTAGCTTAGTATAAATGTATTTGTTATGCTTGTTAAATAAATCTAAACTGTACCAGATAATATTTCAAAGTAAAAAATTATATAAAATTGGAAATGTCTGAAAAGTTTTTTGTTATTAATTTAATTAAATACTTAAAAATAGATAATATTGTCCTATGATCCGTCACCAGTCACTACTGTGTTCCGATCCAATTGGGTTGGCTCTGTTTTGTAATTGTACATTTAAGTATTTCTAAAACTATATAATAACGATAGTTTTAGTTAAATAAACACATTTTTCTTCGAGATTTCTTTAATATTATTTATATTTAGATTACATTTAATAAAACTACACTATGATTACTATTAGTTGAATCAAACGACTAGATGCGTCATAGAATTTTAAATGTATTCAATTAGTAAAGTATTGACTTCAATACTTAAGCTGGGTGATGATGATGATGATGATAATTTTATCATTAAATCTGTATAAATATAGTGTTCAATAAGTATTAAATACGTATACAATACACATATTATATTTAATACTCCCTCTATCCAAGATCTTTATCTCAATATTTCTAGGCAATACATACTAACGAAGGGCTAACGTTTGTGAAAACTAATTAGACGTCATCAACGGTTCTTATAAATGTATGAATTAAATTGTAATATTTAGTTTCTTTTGAGAATTTACTCTTTTGGTTTCACTACACTATCAATTCAGTATTTAATTTATTGCAAAATAATTAATTTTAACAAACGTAAATCGGTTTAAATACTTGATATAAATTGTGTATTTGAGTTTTTGGATCAGATAAATAATTTGACTCTGGATCTTTCCAGCCATCTTTATAGCATCTTTTGTATTTATTAAGTCTGAGTGTGAGATTTTTATGTTATCTAATATAATTTGGTAGTGATTTATGATTTTTTGTTGTTCTAGGATCTTTTGGACGCTATCCGCATAAGAATTTATATTCTTCTCAAGTAAAGTGAGGCTATTCTGGCTATATTATATATACTATTGATAAGGGTTGAGCGAAATACAACTGTGGACATTCTTAGACCAGAATTTTGGACGGTGTCAATCATATTGAGAGTTAAATTTTTGGCATTAATGCAAAAGAATGTCCCGTACTCGAAATTGATTGAATTAGTGATTTGTGGACTTGAAGCAACGGTTTTGAGTGTGATCCCCATGTTGTGTGAGAAAGTGATTTAAGGATGTACATTCGAGTAATTTCTTCTGAGTGGTTTGATGTGATTGGCCTATGTGTTTTGAAGATGGCCCCTAATATATATACTGTATTTTATTTTGCATTAATGTTTATAGTAATGTAATGTTGTTTTTATTTTTATTTTCCTGATGATTACTAGGCTTTGTGATTTTTCTGCAGAGAATGAGAAACCAAATTTGAGTGACTTTCCATAAAGTAAAGAAACAGTTTCTTGTAAGGTTAGTTGTGTATTTTGTATGTTATTTTCCCTAAAATTTCCGTTTTGTTTAACAAAGTTTTGAGACAGCTTTCAAATAATTTGACATTTATAGTCCACTTAAAAAAAAACTGTATTTTAACTTGGGCATTTTTCTGTTGCTGATGGTTTTGTAATTTGTATAATACACGAGGTCACCAACGATTGTCGTATACTTAAGCGATATCTTAAGACTCCAGACCTAGAGTTTGTTTGTTTCGAAGGCCCCCTGAATTTATTTTTGTATACCGTGGAAATAATTGTATGTATTTCTGTGTTTGCCAAACCATTTTGTAGATATTTGAATTTTTCAAGAAACCACCAAAATCTTTAATTGATGATATTTTCACAAGCACATCTTGTCATTGCACATTCTTACTAAATGTATATATTTTTGTGGGATTCCAGCATGTATCAATTTTTTGCCACGCGCTAGATCGATTATCAGCAAATTATACACACCTGGTAGTTTATTCAGGTGGAACTGAATTCCTGAAGTTTATAACTTGTTTTCCGACTGATGGTCTCACTTTTAGTAGTAACAAGTGAAAAGTATTGCTACTCATCCTGTAAAATGATTAGAACCGCTCTGGGTAATCATGTAACTCTTTAAATACATTAAAAGCCCGACGTTTATTTTTTTAATTTTATTTTGCCAATAGGGATGCACCCAATATTTTCTTTGTTGACAATTTGCATTATATGCATTAATTAAATTCACTAAATGGAAAGCACATTCATCGTCCGACGAAGATGAATTTCGACTACTACTAGTTTGCCATGTTACTTTGGTGGACGCCAAGCCTAAGTTTTGCTTTGTACCAATGTACAACATTTATTTTATTAAGTTATTTTTTACTAAAAAAAAACATATATCACACTCTTTATTCTCTAATATTTTATCTCTAACTGAAAGTAAAAGTGTAACGCAAGAATGGCGACATGAACTTTCTCTCCAGTTCCATTTTAACTTCAGACGTACCTAATTGGTTGGTAGAATTAACGCTTCTCTTTCCATTTCTATTAAGTATTTTATACGCAGTCATCAAGTGTGTTTTATAATTCACAAATTCAAAAAACTTTTTATTGCCTACACTGCTTGCTGAATAAAGAATCATGAAATATTAATATTATCGTAATTTATATAATATTTTTCTTTATTAAATATTTATAAAATATTGTTTTTAGTGAAAACGTGTGATGACCTTGTTGAATATGCAATAGTAGATTACAGTAATTAAGTAGTTAGATATATTAAAACATTGATAAAATGCATACATTATTTAAAGATATATAGTTGAATAAATGTATATTAATTGAATGAAAGAGGGAGTTGTCAAGTTTCGAATGACTGCCACTAGACGTCTCTCCCTCTTCCCGTTTGTGTCACTAGCCTTCATTGTTGAGTTTGTAAATATATATATATATATGTATATGTAATTTTTTTGGGTTTTTTTTCGAAGTAGAAAAGATGGAAATTTAAGATTTAGCTATTAAAGTAGGTACATTATTAAAATTATGTTCTATCCCAACTGTGCTCCGACCACATTTTGGTGCCACATTTTTTTTTAAAATAAAAATAAAATGTATGTTTTTAAGAAATGTCAGTATCAATAAAAAAAGTGTTTATTTCATTGGTTTTTACAAAGTTCAAGGTTCTAGCGTGCAAGAAATAAAATAGTTCAAAAATGTAATTACAAAAACAACTGCGAAACAAAATACGTTAAGAAAAACAACTCAATAAAAAAACAATAATAAAGCTATAAAAATTGTTTTTGTAGATTTTTTATAATATTTAAATTATGTGGTACATACAGGAATTATTCATTTGTTCATATTAAAACAGCTGTTTTAATTTACTTGTGTATAATAAAAACAAACAATAATGAAACGAAGATAAAATTGTTTATCATGATAGTTTTAATAATATTAAAACTTAAAAGATTGACTGTGATACCAACTGAGGTATTCGTCATTGGATTAGAATCTACATAATAAATTATTTCACAAAATATCCTTGTAACCAAAATATAATTATAAAACATGTTTAGCTTAGGAAAACTTATAAATTAACTAAATATTAATGTAATACATAGGTATTCGCTACAATTATTTTAACAATAAGGTTCTATAAGGCATTACACCCTTTAAAAACACTACCAACAAAATACAATTTGTTATAAAACCGCTCGTATTTTCATTTGTTTACACTGGCACAATCATAGCGGAAAACAAATTCTCTTAAAAAAATTACAGTATAAAATATTTACAAATTTGTTTGTAAAATTTGAGAATTCTTATAATGTAAAAACATAAAAGCTTATCATACAAACCAAGTAAACAGATACTGCATTTTATGCAAGAAATGTATTTTCAGACCTCTAATAGACGTTTAAACTTACAATACAACTAATGTGGAATACATAATATTAAAATAATTTTGTTTTATCATTTGTGTTTTTAAATGTTTGAACTATTTATGTTCTTGTATTGTAATACCCTGATGTTACAACTTACAATAATTACTATAAATGCAGTTTTAAATTTATATATTTTAATATATATTATAAATAATAATATATATTGAAATGCACCGATAAAATCATTGTAATTGCAACGACATAATAAAAAAACTCAAATTTGTAATTTTAGTATTAAGGGGGTAAGTTTTTTTTGCTTCAATGCAAAGCAGAGATGCTATTTGTTTTACCATGATGTGAGCTTTTTGTGTCTTTATACACTGTAACTTTTTTAATACTGAACCAATACCTTCGAGTAGCAACTCTATAAATCCCAAAATTCATCTAGTTGGCTGGAGAGTGATTTTACGAATAATAATTCCTGTAGACCCGTGACCTCTCCGTCCTCTCTATGCTTTTATTGCATTATGCCTCGACCCTACTGTACTAGTCCTCTCGGATAAAATCATTTTCCAATAAACGCTTTGATGCTAATTTGTTAACACTGAACCTCCTTTAATTATTTCTTACTATGCTGGTTTATACTGTGGTTTGAACTTTAGTGACTTGAAAATACTAACTACTGATTTGAATCGAAGCGTTTATTCGAAAGTGATTTTATTACTTTCAGATTTAAAAATTCCTGTAAACCTGTACTTCATCGTCCCCACTATGCCCCGACCCAACTGTACTGTTTTTTTTTTTCAAAGCGATTTTATCACTTCAACAGTGAGTATTAACCAAAAGACAAAACTCCCACTTCCTCTTTGGAGAACTGATTTAGAATCATCTGAAAACAGCACAGAGATATTTGATATTTCATCTTTTCCAAGTACACTGTTCTCATCTAACCATTCTTCAACAGAATGTCAAAAATCTCGAGACTCACCAGCGAAATGTGCCCTCTGCAACAAAGTCCATACGCATCAGTCGTTGGGAATGTCAATACCGGTCAAACAACGTCCCAATCGCCGATCCCCTCTCAAAGTTTCTGGACGAATTTAAAGCGATTATCAATCCATTGGTTTCCCTTCTAACTTCCATTATTAGCTGTTATACATTTTTATTCAGTTAAACTATTGTATTTTCTCTTTTTATATTCTTAAGACCATTAATTGTAATAATATCTATAATTATCGAGCTGTAATACATTTTGATAAAAACTAAAAAAAAAAAACAGTGAATATTGCTTGAAGATCCGTAACCACCCGGCAACTCCTAAACCAACATGCTGACTTTTTATTGGTGAAATTATTAAATGTTATATGCTATGCTGTAGTCATTAATTACAGTAAGTCAAAATACCAAATCAATAAAGCTAAAATATCACAGTTCCCAAGTCCCTCAGTTATATTATAAAAATGCTTATAATTTATATTTTTGTATATTATTGGGTATCTTTTATTTTAGTTAATACATTTTATCATCATTGTGTTTATACATTCAGATGCCTTATTGTCTTATATTACATAATGTACGTTCAAACAACCACTAGTTTTCGAAAAAAAAAACCAGTATTAAATCTATAATATATATTACTGTATACATGACTGTTCTTATAATGTTAAAACTTAAATATGTAAGATGCCAACAGGTATTTGTCATTTGTTTACATTGCTACAGTCATTGTGCAGAATACTGTATTTTATGTAGGAAATAGTATCGTTGGCTTTTTTACAACACAGATATTTTAACTAAAATTCAAAATGAAAGTTGAATTATAATATGACTGATCAGACGAGACTCCTACACAGTATTTATTTACATTGCAACAACAATCATTGTAAAACATGCTGTTCATCACGAAAGCAAACGTTTCGTTGGCTTTGTAAAAATTAGAAACGTTTTTTTGAAAATTATTTTATCACTTTCAGTTATAGTAATTCTTGAAAACTTGTTGATCTCTCCGTCCCCACTAAACACCGACCCCATTTTACTGGATTTTTTATATTCTAGGTATGATACATAAAAACATACTTTGTTTTTTTTCATGCTAACTTATCGCTTAGCTTGGAAAGTAAATAAGATTTAAAGTAAATTATTCAGTTGTTTTTGTGTTCGTTATTATTTGTTTTATGATACATAGACCATAGATGTTCAAAACATTGTTTACGGCTTTTGAAGAACTTGTTATTGTAATAGGGTCAAAGCAGATGTTCTTTTAGTATTTGTTTTCAGATTTTAGTTCTGTACTACACATAAAAGAGCGAAATATAAAACAAGAAATAAATAACTCCTTTTTAGGAGTAATAATAATAAACAATAAATATATACGTAAATACGTTTAAATTAGGAAAAACAAATTAAGTAATATTTATTAATAGTCGAACAACCCCGTTGTTTTCTTGATCTTTTCTTTTCTCAACGTCTTTTTTAAATTAAATTGTATTCTCTGGCTAATGCTTCTGTAAAATAAAGGAAAATGTTTACAATTTTATACAATTTTGAGAAAATTGTATATGATTTAGTTAACCCTAAAACTTCATTTAAAAAAGTGAAATAACGAAAATATTTTTTTAGTTGGTCTACGTTTATCGGTAATACTTTATTTATAGAATATTCAACAAAAAATTGGAAATAATTTAACTATTTTGTACAATTTTATAGTTATATGAAGCCCAAAAAAAGTACCTTCAATAAAGGTAAATTTTTTAAAACATCAAGTATAACACTGCAACTTTCATTATGGAAACTTATTAAAATGATTGAACTATTTTCTTGCACCGGCCGTAGAACCCAGCTACTCCAAAAATTTTAGTGAAATTTTAGTATGTCTTTTGGCTGGGGGGTCAGTAAGAAAATCTGTGCGTGTTTGCGTACATCACGCTGACGTTACCTGAGAAAATGTTTGCATGTGGTGTGATCTAGCGGTTGTAAGTATAGTAGTTGTATATATGAGAGATAAGAGATTAGGTACTCCTAATTAGGTACTCCAAATTAGTTAATCTTAATTAGGTACTTTGGGAATTATAGAGGAGGAGTATGGAGGTAAAATAATAGAGATAGTGGATTAGAGATACAATATTGCAGGACACATCCGTGTATTGATGTATCCGCATGAAGTGTGGATACTCTTAACTTTTTTTTTTATTATTGGTTTTTATAAAAACATTGTATTCGCTCAAATAGTTGTAACAATATGGTTGAAATTTAAACGTTCCAAAACACAAATAATGTGGCAAATTTGTGGCCAAAAAACAACTGGTTTTCTTTAAAATAAAATAGTGAAACTATACAAATTGTAATTTGTAAAATACCACATTTTCCTTAACGTGAATATTTAAAAAAAATGCGATGCTAACCATTATTTGTTGTTTGCCTACATTATCAAACGATACAAATTAGTATAGTATAAGTAATGGTTGTACAATAAAAGTGTGGTTGTTATTGGCAATGTGGTAACAAAAATTAAATAAATAACGTGACATGTCTTGTTATCGTTTTCTGTACCAGCTATTCAAATGTTTTGTGACAATTGATAATAATTTGTTGATGTATTTAGTGTTATTACACCTACTTAGATTTTTGTAAGAATTAACACACGAGTTCAGAAATATCACCATGGAGGTGACTAGGGCAAAAGTTATTTTTTACTGTTTACCCATTTATATCCACAAAGTAGGTGCCATTTGGTTGTATGTAATATGTATGGATATGTTACGGTTGTATAACCTATAACTAAGAAACACATAGTCTCAACTCCAAATAATGTATGTACCTACACGATAAATCATATAAAAAAATATAATGAAGCAGCTGTGTAATAATATAAACATAGTCAACCTTTTAGATTCTGTTTTTTCGGTCGAAGCATAATAAGCCCACCCATAAGTCGGAAGAAGAACATTTAGTTTCAAAAGCTGATCAAGTCGATTATTGTCTAAGGAGTTATATCAGTTCAAACATTTTAGTAAGTATTTTTAACTCTAAAAAATTGTAATTACCATAAAACTAAATAAGCCAACTTAATGGGCCAAAGTTATAGTGTAAAAAAAACAGTAATGATGATTTTTTAAAGCTAGTTATTTTTTTATCGGATCTATTAACAATGTTTTTGAGCGTACAGTTTTCTTCTATTTTTTTACCAAAACATAGTAACAAATATTGCGTTTTACACGTTCCACATTTTGGAGTGAATTCTATAATAGATTTTTAATTGTTCATTATTTGGTTTGGTGTTTACTATAGGAAGTGGAGAAAAAATTCAATTTTTGAAATCGTTTTCTTAATAAAAAAATATTTCTGAAAAATTCTACAGTATAATCTAGATTGAATATAACACAACAAAAAACTCGGATTTGGTACTCTAAAAAATTATATATTTTTAATTTTCGTAGCATTGAAACTTTTGGAGTTATGATGGAAAATCTAAATTATTTTGCTGAATGTTACTTTTGAAGCAAAATATATTTAGAACTCTTTTTTTTATAGGTTTGTTTTACTAAGACGCTACTTTTGTGAGGTATTGTGAAAAAGATATCGAAAATTGTCTTTTTAACTACATCATCAATCGAATTAATTTTTATAACGGTATAAACTTTATTTTCAAGGGTTTTTTTTTAATGGATATACCTAACATTCTCTTTAAATGTTTACCTCTTTCCACTATTAAATCATGATTAGTAGTTTTGCTTTCAGTTCAAAGCTTGAAAATTAAGTGTATTATGTCTTTTCTGAAAGTTATTTCGTATTTTGAATAGTGTAACCTAACTTTCTTACATAATACAATTTAAATAGGTCATAGAGACTAATTGTAATTTTTATCTATTATCATCATTGTGACAACAAATAACTACAATTTTAGCCAAATATAGTATCTTTAAAGTTCGATTTCTACTTTTCTATACAAACACGTCAGTTTGGTGGTCTAGGAAATATTGTTGGTTTAGTAAAAAAATGTATATATTTATATTTATAATATAAAAAACAGACTCACAAAACAAAAATCTTCTAATTTCTAAACTGGAGGCAAGTTTGATTTACATAAGTTGCTTTTACGTTTATTATTATTATTTGCAGGTGAAAATGAAGCTTTTCTGTTTTTTTATGTCATTTCTATTTGTATATGTTTTGGCAAATGTTAAAGGTAATTATTTTATTTTTACAATTACCAACTTAATGTAAGTAATTCAAATTTGAAAATAAATCCAATATTTCACTTTTTTTTACAGCGGATCATACGAAAGAGGTTTTAGTTAAAAGTCAGTAAAATTTTTTTTTTTTATAAAAAATAATTCTAATTTGAAAAATAATCCAATATTTCACTTTTTTTTTATAGCGGATTATATGAAATTGGTTTTAGTTGCAAGTTAGTATGTTTTATTAAAAATAGTTTTTTTAAGGGTTTTAAATTCACTATTTTTATAAATATTTTTTTAATTATCTACTACAGATAATGAAATAGAGCGTGCCTATTATATGAATAATGTACCTTTTGGCGGTAAATCTGGAGCAAGTAAGATATATTTAAAATTAATATGCTTATAATATATAAATATTTTGTTATGTGTACCTAATTGTCAAGTAATTTGTGAATTGAATAGTATAGTTTTTGTCAATAGTTAAAAGTGCACAAGTTTTTTACAGAATCAGTGTACAGAACACTATAATATTTAAAGTAACGATTTCTAATTTTCTAATAACCTCATCAAGGAAGTAGTGTTAAGTTTAATGGCTACCGGTTAAAGCATGGTTTCATATTATTCTAAACATTTATAAGGTATATAATTGGATGTTATTTAAATCTTTTAGTACAGCCCGAATTTTGTTTTTTTTTTTTATTCTAGATGGATTGGAATATGTAATTGAAACAATAGTTGGTGATACCACATTTTACAAGCATTTCGGTAGTCAAAATTAAAATAATAAAAATTAAATAAAAAAAGATATAAGTAGAGAAAAATATTTGAAAAAAATTGCAACTTAAATTTATCTTTGTGCAATAATTGATATAAATATAACATTTCTTTCTGAAATGTAAATGGAATCTTTATGAAAAAAATACTTATGTTAGTTCTGTCCACCTCGTCTGATTATTAAATTTTATTCTCAACACCACAACTGCTTCAATTTAGCCATTATATTTTCATAAAGATTCCCCAGTCTATTTAATATAGTTTTTTTCTACTTTGAACTTCGTCTTCTAATCCATAATAGCAAATCAAATCCAATATCATTAATTTCTATAATGTCAATTTCAGGCAAAATTAATTCTATGATCGCTGTACCAGGTAATATTTTTCGTTTAATTTGATAAAGATATATCCAATATTTTATTCCTAACAAATTATTTCAAAGAGATTCCCATTGTAACGAATGTAGTACAGTAAAGCCCATTTCTTCTGAGTTACTAATAAATTTGTATTTTTTCTACTTTGAGCTTCATCTTCCTGTTTATAATAAAACAAAAATGCAATATCACTAATTTATGTAATGTTAATTTCAGACAAAATGGATATTTCCGTCGACATGGATGGTAATAATATTTATTACACATTATGGAAGTGTTTCCACACAGTATTTTGATATTCTTTATGCACACGAGATTTTTGTTTTAATTTCAGAAAAACCATCCTATGACAATTTAACCAGTAACCACTTTTTTTATATTTGTTATTCATTATACATACTTAACGCGTATTTATTACTTATTAGTACTTTGAAAGTAATCTTATGTATCTATTGGCATATACTAATATGACATATTGGTTTCAGTCATAAAAAATATGTAGGTGCATAAAATATATTTGGTTTTTAATTTTAGAATTGAAATATTACCAGTCTCTGGTGGCGTGGAAAATAAAAAACACATTAGGTAAATATTAAGTATAAAAAAAATGATAGTTAATCTAGTTTGTAGTTCTAAAGAAAAAATATTTAAAAAAATCGAATAAAAGCTTAATGGCATGAAGCTATAAAATATGTTTTATTATTAAGCTTTTGATTTTCGTTCTAGTAGATATAATTTAATGTTTATACAATAATATTTTGCATTAATTATTTGGTCTAATTAAACTGAGTTTTAGAGTGACTGTTATGACGTAAAGAGTTTGTAAGGAGAGACTGGATAGATTTAAACGAAATATTAAAGTTTGAGAGTTTTAACGTGTAGTTTAAAGGTTTGTACGCATTATAATACTATTCTAAACCTCACCAATCAGGTAATTTATAATCTATTAGTGTTTAAAGACATATTTATTTAATTATCAAATTTTAAGTTAAACAAAATATGTACGATACGATCAAATCAGCATTATTCAAATGTACCCTGCATTTAAATCCACCACATAGGGGAACCTATACCGAGTCTTATAACTTTATAATGATTTGTTTCAGATATTTACTACTATCCTGAAGTTGATGACGAACAGAGTAATTATGAACTTTTCGATTGTCGTAAATAGCTGGGTTTAGGGTTAAAATTTGCTTCATTTTATATATTTTATAATGTCAAACAATAATTTTAATATAGTAAACTTTTAGGTTAAGAGAAAGAAAGAGAGAGAGCGGGACTTAGTATCTAATTATGGTGATATTTTGAACGGTGTTGAATGTCATGTTTGTAAAATAATTTTTACCAAATAGTTAATCTAAATCAATTAAAAGTTTGCCTAAAATGACAAAAGAATGCTGGCATGGCAAAGTGTTTGTTAAAACGCCTACATTTAGGATATGTATTTATAAAAATCAGATCGGTTCTTTTTTACCTGTGCAAAAAAATTTATTTGGTAAAATAATTCCCAAATTACATATTTTGCATGAGTTTGTTAATCATTATTTTGAAGTGGTATAGTACCTAGTACCTAGTACCTAGTAAAACTATTCATCGTGAATTTTAAATTATTGGAAAAATACAAAATAAATATTACGGATTAACCTACGTCATATTATTCTATGAGATTAAAAAAAGCTGTTGGAGATTTTTTATCTACGCAAATTTAAATTTTGCTAATATTACTAAGTTGAACTAGGTATACATAATATATTATAGTACCTTTCTTATATAATTATTATTTATTAACTATTAGTATTTTTCTATTATATATGTTGTATTATACATATGTGTATTAATTACATTACAATTTTTATAATAATCACTACTTATTATTTTGCATTATTCTAATATGATATTATTTAATTCGACATTATTTAGAGCAGCTATTTCATATTTTTCATTTGCAATTGTTATAGTATATTAATTTTGACTGCATTTAGCATTTCTGTGATACAATTATTAAAATTATGCCAACTTTTTAGTTAAGTAAAAACGATCTGATCCAATTTTTGTAAATACATATCCTAAAATACGTAGGCGTTATAACAAACAATTTGCCACGCCAGTTTTTCTTTGTCGTTTTAGGCAAACTTTGAACAGATTTGGGACCACGTAAGTGGTCACATTTACGAAAGAAAAACAAATAATTATTATATACACAATAAGCACACAACAATATAAGCAACCTGCAAATTAAAATCCACCGCATTTTATAATTATTAATATTTAGTATTACCGCGGATAAAAGAATTACATAATATCAACGTTAGAAACATTGATAGAAAACACAATTTTAGACTTAAATACAAGTATTTTGTACTTTAGTTTAATGAGAAAAAAAATTAACAACACAATCATGTCAATCGAATTTTTAATATTCTTTATCACATAATCTGTCAGAAATCACAATCCGCTGATAACACAAACCAATACTTCAAACAGCGTGACTAATTTTTATTAAATATATTTTTTTCTCGATATTTCCAGTAAATTGACATTAGTTCTATCAGCATAATTTAAATGTATCCCACAATTAAATCTACCCTATCTTTCCCTTTACCGGGTTTTAACAACTTTATTATAATTTGTTACAGATATTGCCTTTCTTGAAGTTGATGAAGACCAAAGTAATTACGAATTTTTCGATAGTCTTTCTTGGTTAGGGGTTGAAATTTGGTTCATTTTATATATTTAATCATTTCAAACGATAATTTTAATAAATTAAACTATTTGGTTAGGAAAGAAATAGATTGAATGATTGAGACTTTAGTGATTTGAATTTATAGTGATACTTTGAACGTTGTTGAAAGTTAAGTTTGTAAGTAAATTTTAATAGAAAACAAAATGTTTGAATAAATCATTTTGCACTTAAAATTAATCAAGTTACTAAGAAACAAATCTTACGAAAATAATCATGTCAATGAAATTTTTATTTTTTAGCTTCGATGCTATTGGTTTTAACATGTGGGCTTTTTTTGTGTCTGTGTACACTGTAACTTTTTTAATACTGGACCAATTCTTTCGAGTAGCAATTCTATAAATCATTAATTTCATCTAGTTGGTACTTGGGGGGGGGGGGGGTTTAAAAGTTGAAAACGTTTACTTCTTCCTAATAAAATTAAAAAAAAAACATACGAGCTTTAAAGTTAAAATTTTTACTGGCTATAATTTCGAGAAAATAAGTTGGATCTAGTTGAAATTTATAAGGAATATTTATTTGGTATGCCCTCACACGTCAATAGTCTCAAATTTAAATTATACCCATTTCCCATCCCCCTAAGGGGGAGGGGGCATGTTTTGTTGATTTTTGGGTTTTTAGTCGTAATTTTAGGACGTTTAAGTTGGAAATTTGTCAGTAGATAGAACTCATATGTATCCATAACATATAAACGAAGGAAAAAATCGGGAGTACAGTTTTTCTTTAATTGCCGGGAAACTGTGTTTTTTGCAGATATCGTATATTTTAACATATACACCTTAAATCTTAAACAGTTGGTACAATAGGGTCGGGGCATAGTGGGGACAGGGGTTTAACAGGTTTAGAGGAATTATTACAGCTGAAAGTGATAAAATTACTCTCAAATAAACGCTTTGATACTAATTTGTAAACACTGCACCTCACTTTATTTCTTTTTTAATTTGGTGGTTTATACTGTGTTTGGTTTGGACTTTACTGGTTTGAAAATACTAACTACTGATTCGCATCGAAGCATTTATTCAAAAGTGATTTTATCACTTTCAGTTGTAATAATTCCTCTAAACCTGTGACCTCCCCGACCCCACCATGCTCCGTCACCACTATGCCCCGACCCCAATGTATTAGCTTTTATTTATTCAAATATAAACTGCATTCAAATCCACTCCATACTCCCCTGCACTGTGTTTTATACCTTTATGATGAATTGATGTATTTGTTACAGAAATTTCTTCTTTTGTAGTAGCTGAAGACCAAAGTAATTACGAATTTTTCGATAGTTCAATAGCTTTCCTTGTTTTAGAGTAAATTCAAATCCACCGCACTTTATAATTGTTGACATTTAAAATTACATCAGATGAAATAATTAAAATAAACACTTAAGTTAAATAAATTGATGGAAAACAAAATTTTAGATTTAAATACATTATTATTTGTATCTATCACACAATCAGTCAGAAATCAGAATCCGCTGATAACACAAACCAATACTTCAAATATCAAACAATTTTTATTAAATATATTTTTGCTCGATATTTTCAGTACAGTGAAAATAGTTTTATCAGCATTTTTAAAATCTACTCTAGCTTTTCCTAAACGGGGTTTTGATTAACTTCATATTAATTCGATTTATTTGTTACAGGCGTTGACATTCTTGAATTCGGTAAGTATTAAATTGAAAAAAAAATGATAATTAATCCAGTTTGCAGTTCTTAAGAAAAAAAATAGATTTAAAGATTAATGGCACAATGTTATTTGATGTATTTGTTACAGATATTGACATTCTTGAACTTGATAAAAAACAAAGTAATTAAAAAATGTTCGTTAGTCATTAATAGACTTGCTTATTTTAGAGTTAAAATTTGTTTCATTTTATACATTTTGTAATGTCAAACGATAATTTTAATAAAATTAACTTTTTGATTAGGAGAGAGAGTGAGAGTGAGACTTAGTAAGCATTTATGGTGTTATCGTGAACGTTTAATCTAAAGTTGATTGCAATGTTAATTTATAATATGTTCTTTGAAATGGCATGTATAGAAAGAATAAATTCGTTGAGTTTTAACACTAACGACTGGTTGTACAAAAAATTTGATTTATCACAGTTCTTTGTAATGTAATATAATAACTGAGTATCACGAGCAATTAAAATACTTTTATTTTTATTATTTATTTCCAACACGGTCATTTAACAATTACTTTCGTAGATTTTGGAGACTTTGATTTGACAAAACTTGCACAACAGAGAAGAACTCTTACTGGGCTAGCTTTAAAGAAAATATTAAAAAGTTTATGCACCACAAATAAAAGTAATGACCAGTAATCTAATTTTAGCAAATTGAAAAAATAATTTTTTAAAATTTTTTAGATGAACATCCTGTACATCATGTCGCTTTATTACGGATATGTCGTTTCTTAGGACTATACATGAGCACACAATTTCCAGAATTATACATAAAAAATATTGAGGTTGACTCCATGAATCGTACTTGTATTCTATACAATGGAACTACATCTCTAGTATACAGAAAAAATAATGACGTATGGGAGCAAATATGGGAAGACGGTAAAACACAACCACTTGAGGAACAGTTAAAATAATTTAAACCAGGAAGCAATGGAATATCTTTTCTAAAATTATAGAATACCATTGATTTTTATTAATATAATATTTTCATTTTGCACTAAAATTCTATTTTATATTGCACTAATAAATATCAATTAATTCAATGTTTTCCATAATAAACAGTTTAAACTCACGATTATAATTACATTTGTTGTTTAAGTTTTTTTCATTTTTTAAAAATAAAAATGTGCATATCGTTTGCATGTATCCCCGTCTGTAGTCAATTCTTCGTCATTATTTATTTCTAGTAAGTCTTAGGTCATTCCGCACTCCATCCAATTATGAGTTCAGAAAGGGTACCTTTTCAATATTAAAAAAAAATTAGGCAGCCCTTTTGTTCTTAATACCAAAGGATATCGCATATGGTTAGCATGGCAGAAGTTGTATATGTTTTAAAATGCTTGTGTGAATTTTACATAACGTTAGGTATTACGAATGCATTTTAAACAGATTTTAATGTTTATTGGGATTTGGGGTGCATGTGATTAGGGTTGATAGCCTGTATATAATAGTTCAATGTCACAGTTACTTATAAATCGTAATTAATAATACAATGAAAATATTTTCAAATAAATATTGACTGTTGATTCACTCGCACATAGCAACCTAAAATTTGACTATGATCAAAGTGTAATTTTTCCCTTTTGTTTTGGTTTTCCTTAATAAAAAAAAATTTGACTACAGTTTTTCGAGAATATTGTTTATGTTATAGCCCCATTCTAAACATTTTTAAGACCATTTTAAGTCCTAAAAATGTACAAAAAAGAGCAAAATAAAGAAAAAGTTTCTACCCTTTCTAGGAGATAGGACCCTTTCTCATTTTAAGAACTTTTTAGATACGATTCCTGATCTATAGAGCTTCGACACGAAGAATTCGTGTGAGTGGCTTACATTAAATCCGCTTTCCGATGTCGCAGAGGGCTTAGCACAGGCTCTCATCTCGGATGACAAAACAATATCCTGTAATATTATAGGGACTCAGACATATAGGTCCTCGTTAGAAACACAGGGTAAAATATGGCGGTCATTTCACCAAAATTTCATGTTTTTTTTTCAAATCTTCCAAAATAAAATTAGTAATCTATTCACAATTTATTAACTACCCTTAATAGGATTAAAAAGTAAAAAAATATTTTTTTAATATAAGCAAATGAGAAATACTTGTTAATATCATACAATTTTAAGTTTAAACATTAAAATAACTGTCATGTTTTTACAAAAACATTTTTTCGAAGAAGACCTATTTTTTTTTACATTTACATATCCGCTTACTATCACCCTATTTAATGTTTAAATTTGAACTTCTATTATACACATTATAATATTATTTAAGTTGACTGTATTGAAAATGTATAGTATTATTTTATATCATATTCGTATACACCATTATTTATATTATAAATGAATTTATGAATCATAACAATTATTGCGTTCATTTATCCAACTTCCTAAAAAAATATAAGTTGATGCAAATTTTGCCTTTCGTGTTAGGGTATCTATATATATTTTATACTTCAATAATTTTATGATGTATTTTTTTAACATTATAATAACTGCAAAGCGAAGAACTAAGAAGATTTTTTAAAGTTTTTTATTAGCTACATAAAATGATACAGAATTCAATTAATACAGTTAACAAATAAAAAAATTGCGAATATGGTAAAGAGATCTTCAATCAGCGATGTTCATTGTTATATGTATAAAATACATGGTTTAAAATTATAAATATTAAGGAATAAGATATTAGGAGATCGGGAAATATGAACACAATAAAGTACAATATATAAATAAATTTTTAGGATATGACTCGGAACGTTTTTAATATCGTAGTTTTAATAAAAAATTATAAGCTTTTTAGACAATAAAATGTATAAGTTGTTAGAATACAAGATATCTAATAATGTAGAAAATATAAATTATATTTGTTTTTCGGCCTTTGACATGGGACCGTACTATTTAAAACGATAATTTTATATGTGTTAGTTTTTATTGACAACTGCAATTTTATTGAGGACTACAAAAATACAATTATTTAAATATTTTGGTGTTTTACATACAGAGCTATAATGTATTTATTCAGTATATTTTTTATGTATTCGACTATTTTACAACGACTGTTGCAATGTAAACAAATGACAAATACATGTTGGTATCAAAAGGTTTTAACTTTATTATTGTTCTTAAGGAAAAACATGTTGTTTTCGTATTTTGATTTGTCGTTTGTGTATTTATATGTTTGAACCATTTTTATGAAATTAATGTAGTAATGTAAACAAATGACAAATATTTATGCGTGTTATTTGTTACAATATTTAAAATTTAACATTTAAAAAACTCATATTTTACTAAAAAACCATAGTTTTGTTTTTGTAATTGATCGTAAACATATTTGACTTATAACAGCTCTAACAACTCTAACAGATATTTGCTATAATTATTGGAACTTACGGCTAGTCCTACGGCTATGCAAGAAAATAATTTAAATATTTGTGTAAGCACAAAAGAACAGTACAAGGGAGATTAGGGCAAAGCTAAGACCAAGCTAAGACACTTGGTTTCGATAAACAACAAATCATAAAATTTCATAAGGTATCTAGGTTTTCTGTAAATTTTGGGGGTAGGCACCATAGAAACTTCAATCATAAATAATGCAATAAAACAATGAAGGTACTTTCTGACTAATTTTCGTCTAACACGTCCTATAATTGCGGTTAAAAACCATAACATTTTTATCTTTTTGTATCCACAAAGTAGGTACTATATCTTTGTATTTTTATAAATTATTTCGTCTAAGATTTGACCACCGTCCACCCACTTACCTACCTACCTACCAAATAAAGGAGTATCGCCAAGTTTAGAAGGTTTATACAATTTAAAGTAAATTATTTAGTTGTTTTGTGTTCGATATTATTAGTTTTATGATACATAGGCCATACATGTTCAAAAAATTGTTTACGGCTTCTGAAGAACTTCTTATTATAAAAGAGTCAAAGCAGATGTTCTTTTAGTATTTTTTTCCAGACTCAAGTTCTGTACTACACATAAAAAAAACAAGAAATAAAGAATTCCTACTAGGAGCTATAAAAAATAATAGTTATAATAAAGTAGCTGAGGTTTAAAAACAGAGAGAAAAAAATTAGAGAGTACATTAGCAGAGCTTAAAGGACATTCAGCTGTCTCGCCAGAGATGTGAACAGAGGCAGGATTCCTGTTGAATTTCCAGAAATATGACGGATTAGAGGATAAAGTGCGCTCAGTGTTACTAATGTAAGATCAGTAGTTCGACAAAGATAACCTCTTACATTTGGCTCGCAACTCGGAGAAAATTATGTAATCTGAGGCATGATTTGTCTGCTTAAACATTTTGTAAGCATATTTCTTTTTGGTTAATTAGACATTTTAGAGCTGGGGAACCTTGGGGTTTTGAAGACCTTTTTTGAGACAAAAGAGTCGATAGAGTTCAATATAAGTTGGAGTAGCTGGAAAAGGTTGCCTCTCAATTGCAGCTGTTAACGAAGCGCGAGATGGATATGTAATCGCCTGCTTCGAAGTCTGAGTAAGTGCGTGTAATATCAGATCTAGGCTCTTTGAGGTAATGGTATTTTATGAACAGAGGGTGGTGGTAAGGGTCAGGATTGGATAGGGGAGTCGCAGCTTTGGTAATCGAAAGATCGTTAGAGCTTGAAAAATTTTAATCGAGGACATTACCGGAGCTGTTTAGGTTATTGTTGAGCTGGAAGAAGTTTAAGTAGGAGAAATAATCAACAATAAGGGAAGAAGCTGTCGATCGAATGGGGCTTATGGGAATCTAGAATGTAGTCAATTGACGAGAAGTGGGACTCGATAATTGGGAGGGAACTGGAGGGAGACAAGTACGTAGAACCAAGTAGGAGCGAGATGTGGTTAAGAGATAGGAGAGCAAATACTTGTTCCACGTCTGCGGTATTCAAAATTACAGGTGTAGATGTAAAGGAAGATTTGACGGCAATGAACACATCACCACCACGGACGTGAGGACTATTTTCAGGGTTCCTATCGACCCTAAATATTTGAAAGGACCCAAAGCCAAGTTTAGCGTGTAATATGTCAGGAGTTAACCAGGTTTCGGTTATTATCGATCATAACCATTGTAAAGGCAATAATGTGCGTAAACTCGTACTTAGTGTTTATGGCGTTTACGATTAGGCTTGTATGTCTGTCTAAAAAAATGTGTTGTTGTTCGGGTACATATTGGCTGTTAAAGCATTCACACGTAAATGTAAATTTCAAATCTGCAGACTTGCTACATGAGAAAAATCGGTTCAGCGGTTTAGGAAATATCGTGGGCCAAACACACAAAAAACAAACAAATAAATACAATAACAACATATTTTTGTAAAAACAACATCTTGCCAGCTACGCATTGCCCTAAAAACCGAACTATTGTTTTGACAAACGAAAACAATAGCCGATATTTTTAAATTGAAAACCCAGGTAAGGCAAATACAACTGGCTCATAACATTGAAAATTCAAAAAAACAAGTTCAGATGATATTGTTTTAGCGGTTGTAAACGGTTTTTAATGCGAAAAAAAATGTATTGTTTCCATATTTTTCTTGAACTAGTAATCCTACTACTGCATAATAAAAAATAGGTCAGCTCAAAACATTCGATAAATACCAACTAGTCTTAAAACTAACGCCTTAAAATTTATCTCAACAATAATCGACAGGTTTAGATGTCCTATATATGTATAATAATTTAGAGTGACCAGGCCCTTAATTAACTCGGCAGTTGCCCTGATCGGCATTATTAGAAAGAGGTTTAGGGGCGGCAAAATTTTGGTTTTGACTTTTTAATAATGTTAAAACAAATCTCATATATTTCTGAAAATCAGGATAGCGCGTGTATGGTCGTTTTAGAACAGTGCGAGACATTATATTGATAAACCTTTGATAAAATGGTATAAAATATGATCTATCATGATAAATTGTAATGGCACGTATAATATAATATTATTAGTGTTATTATTATTACTCGTCCCGATTACAAAATATAT